ACACACACACACACACACACACACACACACACACACACACACACACAAATAAATAAATAAACATCAAAAAGAATTCAAGTGACTCCAGGATGACAAGTTCAACAACAAGTTATACCTGCAAAAAACAAATAACGTGTCTGTGTGTGTGTGTGTTTGTGAGTGAATGCCAATGGAGGGCTGGTGTCGCTGTATGTTAGCGTCAGTGAAAAGATGGCTCAGTGTGTTGGCCTGAGTGTGTGTGTGCATAAGTGAGCGTGTGTGCGAGTGTTAGTGTTGATGCATTTTCACAATGATCTCAGTGTCAGCTGTGAGACCAGGAGCAGGTGTCAGAGCAGAGAGGGGATCACATCCTGCGAGCATCAACAATACACTTGCAAACTTTGTGTGTGGGCCACTGTGTGTGTGTGTGTGTGCGTTGTACAATATTTCATAACATGAATTTTAATTGTTTCTCTGAATTAATTATTACTTCGGTACAAGTGACGATACTAGCAAACACAACTTGCGCGACATTATTCATGTTGCTGTGTTCACACATGAAGCGGTTAAAGCGCGATAAACGACCGCTTTTTGTGAGAAGAAAATAAATTTAAAAAACAGGCCACAAAAAAACAACAGGCCACTAATTTCATTGCTTATTACGCTTCAGAAGTAACTGGTCAGACTTTGGCTGTTCTTGATTAAAACATAAGTCTGTTCACGCAAAAAGAGCTATTCATCTTAATTAATCAATCTTAAATACAAAAATGACACTGCTGATAAAAACAGAGAGACAGTAAGCGTCAAAAGGAACCTTTTCCAAACTTTCCAAACTCTTGTCATGACCATTTTTCGTTGCATGAATATAAGATCAAAGTGGGAACGAGACCTATCTAAAACATATAAGCATAGAAAATAAGTGTCCAATTGTGTTAAGTATAAAGTTATTCAGCAAGGTAATTGGAACAAGAAGGCTGATGCAACGATTAACTGTTCTAGCTGTAGCATGTCTCTCAGTAGAGAGGACCACACTTACTCATTAGAAACTGAAAAAAACAAATTGTTTTGACAGACACTTGGACTCTAATCAGGTCATCTTTGAAAAAGTTTCACATCAGCTAGATGTTTTTTTTCAGTAGAATATGCTGATTTGTTCTGATATAACACTTTCTGACCTGTGTAAGGGAGCCAGGCTGCAGGCACAGCTAACCCTTCCCATTTGAGCCAGAGGTGTCTCCACATCGAGAACCCACTGCTGCCCAAATCCCCGTGCCGTGACTGTCTATTTTTCTATGTTTGTATGTTTCTTACATGTCTGTATGCCCCAAGTATTATTTTGTCTTTAATAATTTTGTTGTTTAATGCTTTACTTGCAAAGGATACCGAACAATACTCAGTAATTACGATGACTACTCCCTCCAAATATATATTGCAGCATGCTGCCTCAGAGCATCACAATTCTCAATGCCTTGCAGCTACTTGTCTTTATTTATCTTGTGTGTGTGTGTGTGTGTGTGTGTGTGTGTGTGTGTGTGTGTGTGTGTATATATATTGTATCTACTTCGTTGATTGTCCTTTTGTTGTCTGCTTTGTGATTTAGGGTTAATAAAGTACTCTCTCTCTCTCTGTCTTTTTAATACTCTCTCTGTTCATCTTCTCGCCTTTGGCTCTGAATGAACCTAAATGTTACGGCTCTACATAAAAAGGTGTTGTAACAGGAGAGACACAGTTTTGTGTGTTTCTGTGTGTGCGTGTTAATGATAACATGCATGAGTTTCTGTGATTAATGTGTTTTGCACATGTGGGGCAGAACCATCCCGAGGGTTGTGCTCGGAGGCCAATGCCTGTGACAATTGCCTTTTTGGGGCTCAAACGCGCACGCACGTCTCCTTCCATTAAATCCCAGGGACATTAACAGCAGCCTGCGGCCAGCGCTTCAAGCTAAGCAAGAAATGTTTTATAAATATAACACACAGTGAACAGCCTGCCTTGATTGTTAGTAGCACTTCCATTTTCAGTGATGTGGATAGACTGTGTATGCGTGTGTGTGCGCATGACTGATTGTCTGTGTTGAGAAAGCACACTGAGACACAACATTTTACCTTCAAGACATTTACACTCTAGTCATTCAGTAACAGAAACCAGCAGCGTTAAGTGTAGCTTGAGGGATCAATGATTTAAAGTGAAATAGATTAAAGCCTCGGAGTCCTTAACAAAATCTTGTAACGATTAAGTAATTGAATCAAAATAAAGGGTTAGGGACTGTGAGTTGAGAGGGAAAGTGGTGAGTCATTGGTTTATTTTAGCTCTTATCATAAGTGTATTATAAGTGTACTTTAATATTTATATCATAGCTGCTTTGCTGACTTGTGCAAGTAAAGCAGATGAAAGTATAGCACTGTGTTTTACCCTGAAAAGCAGGCGAGCGATGGCGCTCTGCACCAGGCTTAGGGGTGTCCAGAGATGGCGATAGAGAGCAGTATCCACCATGCCGGGGTCCACAGCACATGAACTCAGTGGGAAACCTCCACGCTGCAGCTCCTGGTGGAGGTGGGAACTAAATAACAGCTGGGCCAGCTTACTTTGACAGTAAGCAGCGTGGGCTGAATAACACTGGCTGAGGAGAGAGAAACCAATAAATACTGTAAGACTGTTACATTAAAACTATGTTTAAATACAACAAGGATAAAAGAGCAGTTAAAGAGTTGTTTTTCTCAGTTTATTCTACTGAAATGTTGCCACAATAGGTTGTATTTTTCCTGTTGAATAAGGCCAAGCTCTTCTTACAGTGGAAACTTAACGAGACCTCTCTGGACCCTCAGGCTAAACAGGCGAACAAGGACGCACAGTGTCATTGATGTGAAGCATCTGAAACCAGACAACCTCATTCGACTGCCGAGCCACAGCTCCAGCAACTTACAGAGATCTACAACTGGGGAGATCTAGTCCAACAATAAAAGTAACAGCAACAGCATTTGCAGATGTAAACACGCTGATGTGCTACAGGAAAGGAGAGTATCTGCAGTTTCCACACCTGCCAGGCAGTCGGCACGACACTACTGAAGTATTGTTTTTTTTCTTTTTATCATCTGCTGTTTGTCTAGGCGTTTGTCTGTAGAAGTAATTTTAATATCACTTTGCCATCATCGGATTGATTTACACATCTGTTGATTATTGTTTAGATCGTTGATACACAGACTCCCTATTATATAATATTGAATATGTGTAAAGCTCATTGAGTATCTCATACACCCTTGAGGAAGTTCCAGATTGTAATTTTGTTAATTGTATTTCCTTTACAGTTGGTAAGTTTGTCAAATTAGCAACAAGACACATTAGGGACCTCACCCTTAAAACAGTTTGGTTTCATATTACTGTTAAGGTCAAATCTGGTCACAGCTATACCTTGTAGCAGTACTGGTGGGAAACTTGGGAGAATACAGATAGTTCCTTTTTTTCCAGTCGTCTTCCAAGCACCCTTGAGGGCATCACTAAAGCCTTGCACGGCATTAATAACGGAAAGAATCTTGAATTAAATTAGTATTAATGTATTGTGAGAGGCTAGGCACACTGGTATGTGCCTTTGCCCACCACTAGGGTAATGTAACACAATGAAGATATTCAGGCTGCTAATGCTTCAGGACAGCTAACTGGAATGATACTGAGCCAACTGGCGCCAACAGTTGCCCTCTCATGCCAACAAGAAAATTAGACACTGGCGTAGGTGATGGGATTTGAAATGTTCTAAGAACAAAGCAAAACAAAACAAAAATGAACAGTTCATTCTGGTTTAGTACACCTATGGTATCATTTTTGTGGTTTTGTTCATTGGAGTTTGTTTACATCCTGTCTAATCATCTGACCGATTTCCCTGTGATCCCAGATCTCATCAATTAACTTGGTCAAATGTTATTATCACTGAAAAAAGTCCAAAATAAACTGGAATTATCCTTTACTGATTAAATGTTCTTTAAATACCACTCTTTTTAAAAAAAGCCAGCTTTGTAATATATAATTTGATACGGTTGTGATAACGTGTGTGTGTGTGTGCGTGTACGTGTGCGTGTGTGTAAGCCCACCAGCTATTTAAATCATTTAGTCCGATCTCGCCAACGCGGTGGGCTGACGAGGAGACGTTGACAACGCGCGAGAAGTAACCACATTTCCCAGAATCCTTCAGTGTGTCCAGGAGCAGCCAGGTCAACAGGAAGTGGCCTAGGTAGTTCACGCCAAAGTGCTGCTCAAAGCCATCTTCAGTACGACCCTCAGGAACCAGCATGACACCGGCTTGACACACACACACAAACACACTCACACATAAGCATTTAAAGCACACAAAAATACATTTCAGTGTTGGATGTTGAATGTATTCTAAAAAATGTAAAAAGAGCCCATGCTGTTCAAACAGCCTTAAATTGGTCAATGCTATTCTAATAATATAATAGAGGGGTCTCTAATGTGTCTGCAGAACTCATTATGTGTGATCACACCTGTGATCTGTCTTTAGTGACTCATCAGTGGATGACTCACCAATAAGGGGACACCTGTGGCCTCAACACTACGTGCTTGGATTGAGAGCGCTTTGACTTTGATGGAATTTAACCAAAGAAAAGAAATCCAGTCTGGGGATGACGGGTTGTGTCGAACTTGAAATATACTGAATGTAAAAGTGTGTGGCTTCAATGCTTTAAATCCTTTTAAATTCAGTCAGATAACAGCATCTAAATTAATCTCGTTGAAGACTTCTACTTCTCTCACTGAATACTAGATGCACTACTGACATCCTCATCACTCACCATTGTTGACTAGAAGGTTTAGCGGGAGGCCCCGCTCCTTGAAGCGCTGGACAAATTGACGGACAGACTGCAAAGAGGCGAGGTCCAGTTTGGTGAACTCCACTGGAATGGACACACACACACACACACACACACACACACACACACACACACACACACACAGACGTCAGAGCCATTGTAAATGGATTATTTCTGCTGTAAGACATCAAAGAGTGTATTAATCATCTCTTACAGTAGGCTCGGCGGGTTCTTAAACTACGATGCTGGCAGCGCTCTGCTTCAGTTGTACCAGCACATTATTTCAAACCTAATACTTCTTCCTGAGCCCCATCAGAGCTTAACACACCGTTATATCAGGTCTATTGTTTGATCAGACACAGGTAGGACAGCAATGCCCAGGAGCTGGTATGATCAGAGTGTGAAAGTGACTCTGTGTGCTTAAGAGTAAGCGTGTAAGTGTGTGTGTGTTTGTGTGCTGTATGCAGTGAAATTACTTTGAGGATGCTGAACACTGTGATACTTCAAAACCTTGACAGACACACACTTCTTGTGGGGACATCTACTTAGCACCGTATGAAGCGTTTTAATGTTCAAGCAGCACTAGTATTGAAATACCTCCAGAAGAATAAGACAGCGATGAAGTGAGACCTAACTAGCCAATAAACGATATGGGATTACTGTAAATTGTCCGGTGTGTCTGTCCCTCATGTCACTGCTCCAACTCTGGGAGAATGTGTCATATTGAGTTGTCCAAGTTTTTCCACTCCAGCACCATGTTTGTGTGCGTCTAAAGAAGTAAAGTCATCTTATTCATACTGTAAAATGTACTAGATTGAGTTTTGCAAATTCAATTCTGATTTAGCGTTTACTCTTTATCTTTTCCGGCCAGTTCGTCAAACCTTACTAACTCTGTCTGTCTTCCTCATACTGTTGAGATAGATAAAAGTGAAGGCGTTCATCCCTCTTTCTCCAACATGCTCCTTGACTACGGAGTCACTCCTAATCTTAAAAAAGTAAATTTAAATCTCCTTTCATCAAGACAGCCTTAAAATCTCCATTCTTCGTCCTCCTCTACAGGCTTTCATTTCCGAGCACTTCTCTGCCAGAAAAACAAATGATAAGAATGTAAATACTGCATGTCCTTTTTGTGACTTTTGTTTTTTTGTATATGGAATTGATAATTTTCTTACCAATCCCTCACCAAAAATCTAAGAGCAATATCAATGCAGCGTAAGAATACAAACACATCTGAGCATAGAAAAAAAGCTTACTGAAGGATGTTCCCTTGTGCCATATTTCAGGCTCGCCAATATGTGCAACGTTTGCATTTTATGTTTGTCCTCAGGCCGGTAGGGGAAACCATAAGAGTTATTATAATATTCAGCGGGGACATGGTTTTCCACTTCAACTCTCAATGGAGAGGTGACAGAGGTAATATTCTATTTCACCGTATCAGAGAGAGCAGTGAGTCTGGGATCAACGATGACAATGTAAAGCGGGGATATCAACATATCGACATGAACCCGACCCAAATATGTAAATATCATTGTTTCGTGTTGAAGTACTTTATTGGTATTTGATAAATCCTGTTTGGGTAAAAAGTACTAAAACATGAGAGGATACAGAGAGAAGGCCGGGCCTTTCAAACATCAGGAAAATGACATATTGTTCCTCCCTATATAACGCCAGTAAGCTTTGGAGAGGGTCAAATATAAACGGACAAAGACAGGAAGAAGACTGAGCAAGGAGAGCTGATAGAGAAAAAAGCCTCTGTGACAGACGAGAGCGCAGCCATTCCTGATGGTCTGATAGCAGCCTTATCTCCAAGCCATGACGCTCACCTCATGCTGACTGTGTGTGTGCGTGCATGTGTGTGTGTGTGAGTGTGTTTGCAAGAGAGAGAGAGAGAGACACAGAGAGGAAGAAAAAAGAAAAGACAGAAGCAGCGAAAACAAATGTGTGCATTTGAATGACAACCACAACTATATCTCAGTGTGTGTCTGTGTGTATTTGGCTTGTATAACAGCAAGCAAATGTGTGTGTGTGTGTGTGTGTGTGTCCTGCCTGTCAGTCCTCTCCTCTCGAGTGGGCTCCCTTGGGGCCGGGCCCTTTCAGACAGCCCAGTGATGTCTAGAAAGCCCAGCGGGGGGGACATGCCATCGACCTGGCATGGGCCCGCTGCTGCCGGCCCTCAATTAAGACCCCAGGATCCTCTATGAAGCTCAGCTTCCTTCACTCAAACACACGGACTGTGTTTTTATTACATGGGAATCATTTAAAACCAATGACAGGAGCTGACATTAGAGACACACACATGCTGTTTAAGACCCACCGGATCTATTCAGTCTCCATTTCATCATTATTATCATTTCAGCTGCTTGTTAACTGAAATTAAACTGTGAACTGCAAATTAAACAGCTAGTTAATTATTTTAAATTGATTTTGAAAGCTGGTGTGAGTCTCTTACTGAAAGTGTTAAAGTGGTTTAATAAAAGCGATGTAGAAATAATGCAGAAATGTCTAAAGGCATGCCAGTTGATGATGTTACTTTAGGTGGAGTATGAAGCCATGTCAACAACCATAAATAATGTTAATACAAATAAATATTATATATTTGAGTGTGCCGTACATAGCTGACGTGTCGGTCGTGTTAATGTAATTTAAAGTTTGACGTAAACCTAGAGAAGGTTGGTAAATCGTCAGTTTCTTCTGGACTGGATATTTATAATGCCTTGCCACTTCTCCACTATTTCATTACGGTCTTAAAACCTATTTTAGTACTTTATTTGACAGCTGAAGGCCAGTGGAAAAAAACACTTGGCTCGGGTCTTGCAAAATTTATAGTGCCATGATTTCAAAACATCTTTGTCCTTTTCGTTCTCAACAACCAGTGTCACAAACTGCCACAGAAAGGTCTTAAAAGGATTGAGGTTTGATAAGTAATTTAAATGCTGAATTCAGATTTGATAAAATGCATTAAATCCCACTTCCAATCTGAACAGTTAATTAATTCCATCAGTTCAGTAAAGGGCCAGCACTTTGGAGATCCAAAATAATATTCATAACTTTGTTTTCATTAGAGTATAATCATGAAACTAAGAATTGTTCTGTTTTCCTTAGCTTAGTATGAGACCTTAGTATCTACATAGGGAGCTGGTCTTCTTCAGAGAGTCCACCGTGTTGCACCGCCATGTTTCTACAGTAGCCCAGAATGGACAAACCAAACATTTCACATTATTACATTACGTAAAGGCTCCCGTAGTTGCTCCTAAAGTAGTGTTATTACGGTAAGGACGGCCTCAGCGAGGCGAACAGTCTTACCATAATTTTACGGATCACGTTACTGCAGTCTTGGAAAGGGAGGAGTAAGTGGAAGGGTATTAAGTTGGTTGAAATCCACACAGCTAGATGCCACCAAATCCCACACACTGTCCCTCTAATCATTTCATTACAGACATATGGTTTGTCATGTCAAAGTAGGAAAAGTAGGAAAAGAAATGGCTGAATTCCATTTAGCTGCTTCATGGCTCATCACGGTACATAAATAGAACAGAGCCGTCGTTAATGTTTTTAGTAACACCTGTGCTTTTCAGTCAAAATGCCTGCAGTGAAAAAGGACTAAACGACGTTACTGTTGCCTACAATACAACAGATTTTCAACACAGTGTGCTTCTTGGCATTACTTCCAAACAAAGACACTTGAATGCACCATGTCACATTTGTGACTCGTGAAGTCTTGAAGGGGGCGAAAGTCAAAGGACGGTTTCATGGAAGAGTAGCGATTTCTATCTCTGCTTCAGAGCTTGTGGACCAACACCGTCCTCTTCCCCTTTTCCGTTTCCTCTGCCACACAAACAGCTCCGTGTTTGCGTCTCAACCGGTTGCTCTTTGTGGACGGGAAAGCAGACACGAGAGTGTTATCCAATTGCGTCTGTAATTTTGAACACTAAATGTGATTAGAAATGGTTCCTGCCACATCGGTGCACAATCAGAGCCACAGCAGTCAACAAGATAAAAAAATAAAAGCTTGTTCCAACGGAGAATCCCTCAACGGTTTATACCGAAAACATGCCGACAACTACAGAGGAGGGAGCAAGTAAAAGTGGTCTAACGAATAATACAAATGAAAATAAACATGTTTATTAGTTATATGAAGATAATAATCTTATATAATAAGAAGCAAGGACTAAATGTTTACAGTGCATGCATTCATGTTTTAGCCTAAAAAAATACAGAGTTCTGAGTTGAATCTATTTGAACGAAACCTTCCTACAGCAGACTTTAACATGCGTTGTGTGACTCGATTGTGAATACAGTAGACATGATGAAGCCAAATTAAAACTAAATTAAGTATTAAAATTCTTCGCTGGACTGTTAACACCTTGACGTGCTATTTATTTTTGGCAAATTCTTTGCTGTCAGAGATCAAACGACGGTCCTAATGCGGTCATATGAGACTGATCATCTTCAGACGTGTTTTCTAGATCAGTTTTATTCATTTTTGCCGTAAACACAACTCTGTAAAAGATGACTGTCAAGTCATAAACTCACCGTGATCTGAAGCATGTTATAATTTCCTTGCATCACACCTTGCTACCTCTCTACTGTCTAAAATACGATTAAAAAACACATGACGCTGGTTGAATGGACTGCCCCCCCCCCCCCTACAAAACCACCTCTTATGGGGTGAGAAGGGAGTAAATGGTTTCAATTTGAACTGCCTGATAAAAAAAAAAAAACACAGTGATATCTAAGAATATTAAGTCTGGGCATAGTGCCTCCACAGACATTTTTCAGCTGACGCAGGAGAGAGGAGGCTGGCTGGAGGCCCAGTCAACTCCAGCTTGTAGTGTTAAAGGAATGATAAATTCGAGACAGCTGTAAATCTCTCACTGCATATATCGTAAGGCTGTCTTACACGCACACAAATAATATAGCACTACTACAAATAAACACGCACGTATACATACGTTGTATACACACACACACACACGCAATCACTCAGAAATAATACACATGAATGTACACCACGTCATGGTCGTAATGTGCACAAAAACATATCTGTTGGTGTAGAAACGCACACTGACAAGGTCAGTCTTTTATAAACGTTCAACTTAGTTCAATTACTTTTATGCGTTAACTAAACAAAGGCGACAAAAATGATGTTGATTGGAGTGAAAGAGCTTAGGTAAAATGGTAATAGTTTTTGTCGGAAGGGAACAGCTGGCTTACCTAAGCGAGAGAAAATGTAATGTGTGTTAAGCAGGCAAACACACACACACACACACACACACACACACTCAGGTTGCCTTGCTTCCCACTGTAATCTAGGTCCATGGTTTGAGGCACAAAGTGTTACTTTCAAGCGCACCGTGACTAAAGTTAGTGGACAGACAGCGCTGCCTTTGGCGAAAATACCAAAATAACCTGTGTGTTAGTGTGTGTTTATAATTTAAAGTAAAATGCTTTAAGCCTCATTGACTAAAGCCCACTTGCAGTCTGAAGGCATTAGCATATTTCCACAGGATTGTACTCAGGGTTTTCTAGGGACAGTACCTTTGTTACACAAGGCGATACACGACAACATGATACCAAATGGGACAAAACACCTTCACATGTACAAAGATATACTTACATACAAACAGGTGCAAAGGATTGTTCAACAACACAAATGCCTGTAATATTCATACTTTATAGTGACTGGTTTCTTCTATATGGTTGAACCATATGGAGCAGGGCTGCATGCGCAACAGATTATGTGTGACTAACGGAAAATGGATAATGCGCTCACTCACTCGCTCCCTCATTCTCTCCCTTGCTCACTGTAGCCTACATAAAACTATCACAACATGAAATATGAATACCCTCTTTTCCTCTCACAAACTTTGAAGCCTGCTCACAGCCCGACATGCTAACTAGCTCGCTTGCCCTACCACATCTACCTGCATCCAAACAGGAAGGCGGCGGTAAAGTAGTAAAGCCCGCCTCTTGCTTGATTGGATTGTCTGCCCGGTGTGACTTTGACGAGCGGTGCGACTCCGCACCTCGCGCTGAAAAGTTGAGAATATTACGTGACTCCAATGAAAACCAAAATCAAAAAGCTTCTCGTGAAATTAAATTCTTTGTCATTGGTGACACATTGAAGTTCCCAGTTTAAGAACCACCTCTGCAGCTACAATGAGCCGTCTCCCATTTCTCATAACAGACAAATGTGCAAACACGAGGAAGGATGCCAAAGGGCGTTTGGACAGAGATGTTTAAAGCTCCTGCCTCACATACTAATGAGAATCCATTACAGTCTAATTCAAACACACACACACACACCAACACATTCTCATTCAGTGCACAAGCATCTGGCTATCGACACCCCCTTGTCCCTTATGCCTCAGTGCTTGCCAATTACAAAAGAAGTAATCAATTCCACCATAGCCCCGTCCGGGGAAATCGAATTCAATGACACCAGCTACATGGCCGCTGTCTCTGTACATGACAGCACTTACACACAAGCAGGGACCCGAGCAGCCGGCGTTCTGCTGCTCCCCACTGGAAACTCCTATATAGCCTATATGAAACTTTACACTTTTAAACTTTAAACTATATGAAGCTTGGTTGCTAAGAACTGCATGTGGGGTAATTGGGGTCATTAGCAGAATGAGCTAATAAAAACTGGAAATGGCTTTAATTTGTCTTATAGTCTAAGTCCATAAATTCATCTATTACCTTGGTGCAGTACTACAACATTGTCTCATTAGCATAAATAATGTCAACATTAGGTGAAAGAACCATATCGTGGCTACAAGTAGCCAAGATGAGCTTCCTGCATAGGGTGGCTGTGCTCAGCCTTAGAGGTGAGGTGAGGTGCTCAGACATGCTCAGACAGGATTATACACCTCGTCTGGCCTGGGATTCGCCTCCGGGTCCCCAAGGAAGAGCTAGAAACTGAGGGACGACTGGAATACCCTGCCCGGCCCCGGATGAGCGGAGGATAACTGATGGATGAATGGGTGCCGAAAAGACTTTAGCAGAAGATACACCGGTGTATCCTTGCTTACAACTCCTGCGGCAAGCGTCCTTGCTCCCCGAGATGTATTTTGTGAATCCTAACATCCTTCACGTTGGAGCGCTGAGATTGATTTCCGGGTCACAAGCAGAAGGATCGAGGAGACGAAGAGGCATAAAATCCAGAAATGAGAATAGCCCGAGGTGTCTCCAGGGCCACCCTTTGCCACGATGACGCACACGCGGACTCAACAAGGTGAAAACAATACCAGCTATATGCTATTGTGGCTGGTAATAATAAATAATTAGTACAAATCTTTAAAAATCCTCCGAGGTAAACACCTGCTGACGAGCCTTGCAAGGTGATACCGACTCGAGGCCGTTCGGTACGGGGAAAAAATAAGTCACGAGTCTCCTTAGTCATGAGACGATGGTGGAATTTATGGTGCTGTGAAGGTCAGCCGAATCAATTTCTCAACATGGGAGTTACAGAGAACACTGTAAGCGTTAGTCAATGGAGTAATAAATCTCGTTTGTCTCGTCTGCACCTCAATTTCCCCTCCACCTCGTCTTTCTTTTCCCTCTTCTAGTTTCCTATATTTGCCCATTTATCATGCCCCCCCCCCCCCTGTCTCCTTCCACTTCCGCTCTCTACCCCTCCTCTCAACATTTCGCTTAACTTATCTCCCCTCGTCGTCTGTTCCGAGGCTTTTCTCTCGTACTTTCACCTTCCTCACTGTGCATCAACAACACTCCTGACATTGTACGGCCAGCATGGAAGCGCTGTGTGTCTCTGTATGGGTGTACACACCTGCAGGTGTGCAATTATGTGTGTGTGTGTCTAGTAAAAACTGTAGAAACAAGCCTGAGGGACACACTGCCGCAGCTTTGCCCTTTATCTTCAAACAGCGGCAAACGAGAACGAGTAAACACACGCACAAGCATGCGTGTGTGTGTGTGTGTGTGTGTGTGTGTGTGTGCGTTCTCAGACATCTTTGCAATGTTACCTTTGGCTTCCTTGTACTCTTCACAGATCCTTCTAACGGCCACCAGACCCTCCTGCTCATCCCTCCCACCTGGAAGAGAAGGAGACAACACAGATTAATACAATGTCAAAATAGGTGTGAAAAAAAACATGATCCTGGTTGTAAATATTTTTTGTCTCAAAGGGAGGCGACCGTAAGTACTGAAAGTAGCATGTACAGAAAAAAACACACACACCAAATATCAATCAAAGTAGAAATAACTAACATGACATAAGGTGCGTTAACCTTACAATGGGTGTACTGTATTAATAAAAAGCTTGACAATACGGTGTGTTACTTACACATCAGACATTACGTATGGTAATATCTTTAACAAGCTCAGATGGCCTGGTGAAATACACAGGCACAGAGTCTATGACTCAGCACAGAGTTTTCTGTTTACAGATGTTTGCATACAAACTGTCTCTATGAAAGACAGAAGAATATATATTGCACAGGATGAAAATATAAGAAAGACACTTGGAGATGAAAGAAACTGAGCGCTGCTGTCTAATTTACTGACCCTTGTTTTCAAGAGAACCGCTCCAAGTTAATCGCACAAGGGCACCGACAAACACACAACTTCATAAACTGACCTCCTACAAATTATTGCGGTCAATTAGGCTAGTCAATTAAGTCATAAATCAACTGAAAAAACACTGATTGACAAAACATTAGTCAAACATTAGCTGGTTCCCACTTCTCAAATGTGCAGCTTGGCTGCATACTGCATACACACTGCATAAACACACACACACACACACACACACGCAGGCAAACTCTCCTTTTACCCCAAATCATACACACAAAAAGCCTAAATGCACCCTCTAATTTTGTCTCTGCACACACACACACACACACACACACACACACACACACACACACACACATATATTAATCTTGGATTATCACACAGGCCTTTTCAAGGGCACAGCATCATTTAGGCTGATGCACTGTGGTTAGCGCTGGGCTGAAGGATGTGGCTCCTCTGGTTGACGCGTTGCAAGGGTCACACAAACAGTACCGAAACTAAATAACTTCTGACAAACAGTTGTTCTTCAACAGGCATCTCTGCGTATGGACCAGCAGTCACTGAGAGCGCCGCATTTCATTAAATACACATTTCTGCACGAATGCGTTCGGTCAAAGCTCTCCATTGAAATAGCCTCTGATTTTAAAAAAATGCCCCGAGGAGTTAATTTGCCAACCAAATATTTTGGGCTGGGGGTTGAAAATGTAACCTAATTAATTGACTTAAATAATCTTGCTTAAGCTGAACAAATGGATAAAAAGGTAAGAAAGTCCAAACATACACCTCGTACTTTTATACTCGCACCTGTGACAAGTTGAATATTAACCTCATGTCTGTGTATATTTAGGTTAGTACCTGTTTTTAACCATGACAAAGCTGATGCATTGTTTCCTTCTTTGTTTTCAAAAGTGGCGCTTATTATATTCAATGACTCAAGAAGAAAGGCATTCAAACTGTACATTTGCTATTTGTGTCAAGTTTGAACTTCCACATTTCCTTCATTCATGTATTTTCATTCTCTTGTAAAGGAACTATGGCTATGCTGCGATGCACAACTTGCATGCGTGCTGTAATTCACATGCTTCTAGTATATTCACTTCATTCCATTCATATTTTGCAGCTGCAAAGACTACATTTTCCAAATCATATTATCTTATATTAAAAACACTCCAAAAGGCACCATTTTAATTCAAAATCTACTCAAAACCCCTTCAAGCCCAATTGCATCCTGGTTAACATCCAACTGGTATTTGACAGCGCTGAGGCTTCGAAGCATACTCTCATCACACAAGTACTATGCAAGCACTCCACCTGAAATATGTATCCACTTCTTCTCAAGAGAGGACTCCACTTTACCATAAATATTCTCACTTTATGAATTATCTGAAGAGGTGGGGCTACTTGAAATGGAGATGCACACACACAGTCCTGCATGATCCAACGGACACCTCGCCTAAAAGGTTCTCCATGTATTGACTTTGTGTGTTAATCACACATAGGGCTCAAGTCTCATTTATGTTCTGCTTAAACCGTCTCCAAGGATACTCTGACATTGTCTTTGCGGTGCACACACTGAATGAATAAAGAGTTTTCTTCAAAGTTTTGAAGCTTGTGACGTGAACTGAATGGAAAACAGTCTTATTTTTCTGTTGACTCCCTCTTTGCGCAGACAGAAATCCACAGTGATTATTATAGTTCAGATTTTATTTTTCAGACTGTTGTGCAGTGGTGTTGTACTAGTTGTACTAAAATCTAAAGATACCTATCCCCACCTGTAGGCCACCGTAGCTTTCCGACATGCTTGGAAAGGGAGGGGCTGAGCTCAGGGGTATTTAGTTGGTTGCAACCTGCCAAAAACCACTAGATGTCGCTAAAACATACACATTGTCCCTTTAAAGACCTGTGAATACTCAGTAGGAAGAAATACACACTCAGTAAATGAAGTTTCTCTACTTATTCTCTGCTGCACGTCCCAGTAAAGGTATTGCATGAATTTGCTTTAGAACCATTGGTTGTTTATTCTTCTTCTGTTTGACAGAAGAAGAATTGACAATTTATTCACAAACCCACTGCTGTCTTATCTTTTGGGGAAAAAATGTAATAAATTGAAGAAAAGCATTAGTAAAAGCCATTATTTATGCCCCCAAAAAATATAAAAGATAATGTTTGTTTGACAAATCAGGAGTTGCAATAATTGTAAATATAGAATATGGTTTTCACATGGGTACCTTAATCTACAACCATTCTGTCATTTCTGTAAGTGATGTCATGCATTTTAAGGGTTATTTCCACAGAATATGAAATGTGAAATCCCTGTTTAGCTGTGAAACACTCTGCAGGACTACAAGTCTTATAGTCGTCTGTGGTTTATTCTGATGACCTGATGATTGACTTAAGTTGAAACCAAACCAAGTAACTGTGGACTACAAACAGAGAATAAAGAGGAAAACTTGATCCTGTTAGTTTAATGGAAGCAGCAGAGACGACATCAGGCCCCACGGGACTACAGTACATTTGAGGAGATTCTAATGGCAGTTTGCTCAGCTGCACACCAGTGTTGCTGAGAGAAATCTTAAGATGAAAATGAAAATGCACTTCCTCAAAATATAATTCCCCAAAAACCCTCCAGACAAAAAGAACAACGCACAACAATACAAACAACCAAACAGCTGCATCGCACCACTGTTGTGGTTCTACCACAGAGAAAACTACGGATGTAACTGATCAGGATACAAACAGCTTCAGATGCCGCTGGGCAGATTATCATTAGGCCTGTCACTGTAACACATCAGTTGAATGGCTGATGTGCAGTTGTTTGCCAAATTTTGCTCGACAAATCACTGTTGTTTTTTCCTCCACAGGGTTGTTACTCTAATAATATTTTCATATTTACATTTATGCAAAAACTAAGTCCCCGGGTTGGGACCTTTGCTGCATGCATTGAAATCTCTAAATCGGATTCATCAATGTGCACCAAACAATTCACTTCAGAGCCTCGACTCAGAGGGCTCAACAAAATGCTGAGGTGTGTGAACAGGAGCTGAACCGCTGATCACAGACGGAGTCTTGAACTGCATAGCATTAAGGAGAAAGACAGGGAAGACATCGGAGGTGCAGTGATCGACACATTTTAGCGAGTGGCTCGGGGGATACAAGATGAGTGAGTGATAGTGCATCGCATCGCCTTGATAAGTAGGTACTCAATAGCACTTCAAGGAAGGAAGAGAAATATATAGACATAGTGGCAATGGGAATGCATTGAGCTGAATCTATATACAGTACAAGTACAAGTACATGGTCTTGTTTTTATCTGTTTTTCGTATCAAACTTTCGATGGTAGCAGCTATAAATTCAGACCTGTTGATATTATTTTAACAGGTTACACAGATCATTTTAAAGGGTCATTAATCTCCTCCGTTTGGTTATTGGTTAACTTTCTTTATGAATATTAAATAAACGCTCTTGCCTTTTCTTCAACATATCTTTACCAAGTTTAAAAATTCATACTTAAGACTTTGTATACAGATCATTTTGTTTTTCTGTGTCAGTGCGCAGTACAATTTTGGGAGTTTCACTTAGATGCTTCCCTTACAAGACTCCGTTGCACTGCATTAATCTGCAGAGAGTTAATATCACTAAATAATTTATGGAACAACACCAGACCTTGTTTTATGCAATAAAAACAAAGCCTCTCTTAATCCTAAATTTGCATTTAACACTCGGTTTGATAACAGCCTTTTAATCCCAGCAGAGCTCAAACAGTCTTGGCATCATCTCACAGTGGAACTTCACATATTCTCTTTTGATGAAAACAAACAGTTTTGATGTTATTCCAAACCTTGAGCGGATCAACGAGTTCTCCACAGGCATCTGAATGCGTTGTTGACCATCTCGTACTAATTAAGGATCTCGTGACAGCGACAGGCTTTTTTAAAACAGGCACACAGGGGATGCCTTTAATATGACTGACACTTTATTATAAAGGAGAAGAATAGCTTAGAAGCTGAGTAACCCAAACAACATGGATACTGTAATAACAAAAATTGCGAAACCCACAGCAATTCTGTAGAGTGTCCTGTGTAATCGGGACCACTCTCTGGATGTTATTTTGAAAAAGTAATGAATTAAGAATTTCTCGTTGCTCTCTTTAAAGTTATCATAACCTTACCTAACTTGTCTCTCAACAAGAAAAGACATCCCGTTATTAATCATCTCCCTTTAGTGTTACTTTCTAAAAGTCATACCATCACTTAGCTGTCCTCTACTCAGCCTGAAAAGTTTTTTTTGTCCTCCTCGTCCCTGTATTAGCGGCGAACAACCGGGCAAAACTAATCTCAGCCGGTTTAGCAGTGATTGAGGCGTCATTATCTGTGACGAGACAAGGCTCAATTCTTCCATCCGTGCTTTGACAGATTTTTCCGTCATGTTCGCTGCGATGCACAGGAGACTCTGACCCGGGATGCAATTTGGTGATAATTTCCTTTTTTTTTTTTTTTTTAAATGCGATACAAATTCAAAATAATCACTTAATTTATCAAAGTGCGCTCTGTGTTAAAACGGCACTTTGTAATTTTGAAATGCACTACAAATATAAAAATTGAGTGTAAACAGGTGGAACCCAACCTCTTTCAATCACGTGTGTGTGTGTGTGTGTGTGTGTGTGTGTGTGTGTGTGTGTGTGCCCGTTCTTGGTCCTGTTTGCATGTCGGCGGTGAGGTGCTTGATACTGTACCTATGATAACATGTGCCCCCAGCTTGGCCATGTGGCGGACCGCCTCATAGCCGATTCCCTTGCCTCCTCCCGTCACTATGGCCACCTTGCCATCTTGTCTGGGCATCACTGGCGGAGGCAGAAGAGGACACGCAGATATCAGGGAGGATGTTATTTTGATAAGGAAGCTGCTCCTTGTCCTTGCAGTAAGACCTGTAGATGGTCTGATGAACTCAGATAGACTCGTACTTGTGTTTTTCCTGAGCTTGATTCCACCTTTTTCTTTGGGTTCATCATGGTGGTTTTGTCTCATTTGTTTTAGTACATGCATCACGATGATGGATAACAGAGTGCATCATGCTTCTTCTTTTTTTTGCAAATACTGTTGAAGTTTGCATTATGTTAAATCATAATTAGTGCCAATTTAACACACAATAATTTGTAATGCGTGTCTGACTGCTGACCTAGTGTTAATTTAAATCACATCCAATTACACAAAATACCAACATATTCCAATATAATTAATGTATGGAACAGTATCTGTTCAATGCACAATTCTGAGTCGCTGCACTTCATAAATACACTGTGCTTCATGTGTATTCATTGAACTGTAGCCGATATAAAAATGCTCTATCCGTTTACCAAACTGCGTTATAAAAAGTGGAAATTTAACCCCAATTAATCGGCGACAAACGTAAACGCCTTCCAAGAAGATACTTTGAGAAGAGGAAGAGGCGTTAAGCTGTTCTGGATAATTCGGCAATGATAATAAACAAAACGACCCTTTATTTCACCCCGTGTTTACTTCTTTCTAACTAGCTTTAGCTAACGTAGCTAGCATTCTTACTGCCCCACGGTGACAGCCGACACTAACTTAACGCTAGTCAACGAAAGTGCACCATGTCGTTAGTTGCACCAACCTGGCAACCCGAAGGGTCTGCTGAACAGCTGCACCAACAGAACCTTGAAACCTTGCAGATACAGTCTGATAATTGGCAGAAGACAAGACCGAACCGCAGATAGCATCTTTGCCTCGCTCTGTCACGCAGTGAGCGGAGGAGAGGTGGTGCAGACGAGGAACAGCTCCGGGTAAACAGTGCAGTTCCGTTTACGGGATACGTTCCAATAAGAAGTCGTCCATCCTCGCTTTCTCTCCTTGTCACATCTTTGAAAACATATGTGCAACAGACACAACGGTGGAGGAAGTTAGCCTATTTTGAAACGTATTCACAATAACTTTTTTTTTCTTTAGATTGACTTATTGTTCTGACAGCTCACTGACTAGTTGGCCTTGAAAGTACGGATCTTTTGCAGCTATCCATCTCGTGTAGAGGTGCGATTAGTGTCTGATGGAGGCCGGGTACTCATCTGCTTGGCTGCCTGATGTGCCGTATGACCCTTCTCTGTAGATCCATCTAGCATATTGCTCCCTTCAGCAAAACTGACTATCTCATTAACTGCTGCCAGAGAGGTCACTCACGAGAAGCAACAGAGGCATGACACACTAGTTTCATCCATAATTTCCCAGGATAGGCTTTTAGGACATGTTTCTGGAGCAGTGCGGCTTATGTCTGCAGCTCATGTCTGCAGCTCTCCAGGTGCACTTTGCCTGACTGGTGGATGTTAGGTTTTGTCTCTCCTGGGATGACTTGAGTCCATCACACAAGTCTTATTAGAGGCTATGCTAATGTGGTAATTAGTCAGATAGGACTTAAGCTGTGGAAATCATGACTTTGCCCTGCCACTGATCACTATGATTCAATCAGCACAAAGTTTTACCCAACGAAATGCAGAAAAGAATGACCAATATACTACATGATGCATGAAATTAGTTTGTTGCATGTATATCTACAAATATTTCCCATATTTTTTTTATTTGGTAACTAAATAAAAATGTGGCATGTATCTAAAGAGTGTTTATTACAGCTTCAGTAACAGAGTAAAATCATTTTCCATTTCCAGAGATAAGCTACGGACACTTCATGTCCCACACTATGACTTCCAATCACTGCCAATACACCACATGTGTATTGAACATCTTGGACCTTTTACTGAGCTTACATAATTAAATGTCAAGGTGGCATTTCTAATGATTTAATGATTTTATCTTTTAAGGTTTACCACATTATCTGCAGCCTAGTTTGTCACTTCCACCTCAGATGCTTTGGTTAACAGGTATTCTCTGCTGTTTCAGTGTTGGAGTGATCCCATTTTTCCAAGATGGTAAAAAACTTGTCAAATGAACTAAGTTACTCCCTGTATATAAAAGGAAAATGTTTAATTATATGAGCAGCTATCAAATTCAAAAGAGTAACCAATTAAAGCCACTTATGATAACATCCTTGTAATATGCTTAATGGTAGTAATGGTTCATTATTTTTATAAATTCATGAAATTCATTCATCCACCTCTTGTTGAGGAGGCATAAAAAGCTGAGCTGAAAGTAGCTTCATGAATGTCCCAGTGTGTGTAATTGATGACTATAAAGCAACCAGAGATTGATTAAAAGAGAAAAGTTGTCATTTAACCTTTTCAAGTTGAATGCATGTTTATTTCGATCTCTTGGAAATAACATGAAAGGACACCTGCTGCACTGAGTCACCTTCCCATAGCACAATGTTAAAATGCTAAGGGCCATCATTAAGTCAATTCAAGTGGTGAGACTTGTGTGGGAGTGAAAATAGATTACGGGTAATCAATGAATCTACACCAGGGGTCTCCAACAAGTAGCTAATCCATTTCCAAATGGCTCGCTAAAAGTTCAAAGAATATGTACAACAGTTATATGAGAATAAAGGAAATCATTGGTAAAATAAATTGGAAGCTTTGCATCAATATATGTGCAGATTTAAATAGAAACAGGTTCTATGTACCTGTATTCTTTATTTAGTGACCAGAGACTAAATATCAAAGAGCAAAGACTAAGTATTTCAAACTAGATCCACCATGACCGGCTATGACAGTAAAATGCTGCATGCACATTAATGCATCATTAATGCTGATAATACTTTTTTTTAAAGTCCAATAATTTTGGACTTTAACTTGTAATTTAGTATTTTTAAATGGTACTTTTACTTTAGTAAGGGATCTGAAAAAAATAAGCATAATATAGTAGCTATGTTCTAGTTTATACAACACAAATCTGAACAGACAGCCTACTGCTGTGATGGATTGTGTTTAGCTAGCAGGGAAGGAATCAGCTGAATTATCACTGGCACTCAAAGTAGGCCAACCAAACTCTCCATGTCTTCCTTTTCAACTAAATTATACTCATGTCAGCTAAAGACAGGTCTGTGGCATTCACAGTGACATCCCTTTTTCTTTTGGCAGGGAAATCATTAGTATTGGTTTGTGTCTTGCCCCCTATCCGATAGTTAAGTTCAGGATAAAACAGCAGCACTGACAAGCAGTTGGCCCCAGTTATTAAAGTACGCTTAGAAGGCAGTTAAATGAGCAGCAACATAAAGAGACTGACTCATCACTGCCCTGATGGAGGCAGAGGGTAGGAGGCTGTGTGCGTATTTGAATTGCGCATGCGTTGCTGTTAATGCCAGCTGAGAGGACGTGTGTGTCTGCGTGCACATGTGAGTGTTTGCTCTGCCGCAGCCTTAGAGGTTGGGGGTCGGTGAGGCGAGCTGGCCTGCTATTGTTTAAAGGAAATCGCATCTCACGCATGACGATGGGATGATTATTTGGGATGATGGGACATCAGGGAGACAGCCCTTCATACACGTAGACACACACAAATAAAGATGTGCATATACACACATGAGAGACATGCTGCGAACATGACATGACAGGAGGGTGTGTGATGTAAATACCATGCGAACAGCATCAAAATAGCTCCAACCAACAGTCACCTAGTCTTATATGACAGCCACTGGCTGGCTGCAAAGCCCAACTTGTCTAATTTTGTAAATCCAGGCTGACAATAGCTCTATGGGATCTCGGGAGCCAGTTAAAATCTATTCTTTATTTCATGTTTCACATAGATTTATACCTGGTGAGAAGGGAAGGTAGGGAAACTTGGATATTTCTACCAGAAAATGCCACTGACATTTTAAAAATAGGACAAGTTGTTCCCTAATACTTTACCCCATGTTTGCTTTTTTGTTACTAATCAACCGCCACCCCGAGGAGATGGCAGGTGAAGTGTAATATTGTGAAGAATGGGGATTTTCCGGGTGTGTCATGGCCAATTTTGGCTCCAAAGTGCAACAGCTTGAGTGAATCGATGCTGTCTTTTTCTCGCAGTTGGAGCTGCTTCTTTGAGAGCTTTCCCTGAGAAGTCTCTTCCGTCTGAGAGGCAGACAATCAAGGATGGACTCAAAGCTCAGAGACTGAGCCAGAGCTGCAGGACTCACAGTGTCCAGCCTCTAATGAGACAGCAAGTATCATGTAAGACAAACCCATGGGGAATGCCTTATTTTGCAGCCTGAAGCACAAGGGTCTCTCTCTCTTTGTGTGTGTGTATGTGTGTGTGTGTGTGTGTGTGTGTGTGTGTGTGTGTGTGTGTGTGTATAAATAGCAGCAGGTGTTTATCTGTGCGTATGAAGAAGATGAAAACATGCTTAATTAAAGAAGCTAAACGGCTGATTTTTTTTGTCTCCCCCTGCTTTTAGCCTTCATACTAAGCTAAGCAAATCACCTGCTGGCTCCATTTACCATACAAACACGAGAGTATATTGATTTTCTCATCTAACTTAAATTTGATTTATATTGTCACATACATGCATACATACATACATGTAATTCGACCTCTGCATTTAGCCCCATCCTAAGCATTAGAAGCAGTGGTATAAAACAATTTGGGGTTCGTTGTCTCGCTCAAGGACACTTTGACATATGGAGCCAGCCAAACTTGTGATTAAGGGACAACCCGCTCTGCCTTCTGAGCCACAGCCAAAGATGATAACACGATGGGTACTTTTACTTCCTATTTACAGGAAGTCAAGATTATCTACTGTTCACCAGCATCACATACAGTGTCTCAAAGGGCTTTATAGACTCAAACTGCACTCAAAAAACGAACATGAACACTTAGATCGTAAGTAAGAAAAGAAATAGAAGAAACCTCAGGGGAAGCAAGTCACAAGGCATTCCCCCTCCACAGATGACTGGATGTGTACCACTGGAGGATTCGGGGGTCGGAAAAGGCAGTGGACTGTACGTGGACAGATTTGGTAATTGTTGTGTCGGCTCAGCTGCAGCCGCCACCGGCTTTCCATGGGGAGACAAGCCAAAGGCCAGCTTGTAAACATTAAAGTGAAACCTGAGATTTCTGCATGTGTTTGCAGTGGGCGATTGCACACAGACAGCATCCTGGATTCATATCCGGTCTGGGACTCATGTCCCTCTTTTTTTTACTTACAGGCATTTGCGACAAACAGAGAATAAATCCCACTTTTATTTTTGGGGCTGGGTAAAAATAACTCACAGAGTAAGCATCCAAGAGTCATACTGTTGTACATGTAATTGTGTTCAGATTGCTTGTCGATCCGTTATAAATAGATTTGCATGTTTTAAATGGGCTTTGATAAAGAACAGTTGCACTTTTTAAAATACAGTGAGGGTTTCTTTTACCTGCTGTAATGTTACTGTGAGCTTCACAACTCATCAATATCAACTTTCCTCCACATGACCACTTGAACACAGTATTCCGTGAACTGCAATTATCTCCGCCAGGAAGATCATGCGATGGGTAACGTTTGCATACGTGCATGAGTGAGTGAGTGTGCAACTCTGTGTCTGTCAACAGCTAATCTTGCATTCTGCTGCAGCAAACTGCACAGTATTTTGAGTGTCCAGTTATGACTGCATGCTTAAGAACCTCTTGAGGTTGCGATGAATCCGACTTTCTCAAAACACCTTTTATTGCTTTTTTTTATACTGCCTGCGGACTGACACCGATCCCCAGCCACTACTCTGCACCCACAGTGGAGGATAACAGTTTCGCCAAGAGCTAACGGAACTACCAGCACTCACACTGCTGCGTACCTCTGTGAGTGCTGCTCTGTGGCTCACTTTTGTGGTTTTGGATGATGTGTTTGGCTAACCGCTAGCAGCTAACTGAACTATCAGTACACACACTGCTGAACCTCTCCACAACTCAGCTGCTGTCAATTCATTGGGTTTGAATGAAGTGGGTTGTTACGATGACTTACAACCCAGTAGTGTCTAGACAAGAGGCCAGCCAATTGTGGGTTGTGCTCAGTCCATCACAAAATACAGCTGTGGTCCTTTGAAGACACACCTGGCAGAGATGCGCACTCTACTGAGCGCACCTCTTACGTGGTCTTTGCTTTTCAATTTTCCAATCTCAAACACCTGAGTAAAATTTGAGGGAAGAAATGAACCATGCGGATGCAGAGTCATGCTTCCTTTCATTTATGTAGAACTTTAAAACCAGAACAAAGGCAACGGCATTAGTTATATATTATGGATAGTTCAAGCATCAATACGGTAAGGCTGAACGGATTCTTAGTTTAAAATCTCTATCTGGCTTTATATGAATTATTGTGCAGTAACTTCAGCATCATGCATGCAAGTTGTGTGCGCTATTTATTCATTATGTGGGAACGCAAATCTGTGCGTACATGTGTGTGAATCCAGAAACGATATTGTTAATATAGGAAAAGTTTAATTAGCATCCATTCTAAATACTGCAACTTTCAGGTTACATTTCCAAATTTTTACTGTAAATCAATAAAGTTTTCCATTTAGCATGTATATGATATTTTTAAAGTTGTTATTAGCTAGATATATGTTCTTGCTATGGGCCAAGTATTGATGGAGGTCTCAAGCATTTGTCGCTACATTAATCTGAGTTTGAAGGATTGAAAATTGAAATACATAGAAGTATGAGTTATTATTGTTGCATTGCAGCTTCTGCTCCATATCTCAGCAACCCAAACAGTGCATGGGTATGTGCATATGGGGCGGCGTGCGTGTGTGTGTGTGTGTGTGTGTGCACGCTCATGTTCATCAAATATATCCCAACACTATTTCCCCTGACTGTCTTCAGGGAGTGGATGGCTTTCCATTAGTAGATGTGGAATGAGGAGCAGTGGGGGGGATATTTGCTTGCACCAATTAAGTCTGTCATTAACTCTGTGCAACACGCACACAAACATAGACACACGGTATTTAACACATTCAATTTAACAGCGTGTGAGTCAGTGTGTGGGCCTCTGCCTCCGTCTGAGACCTGTTGTCTGGACTGAGAGGAGACTCTTCCATCTCTTGCTCTCTCACCTTCTATCTCCCCCTGCTTTTTGTCTCTTACTCCAGGGCTGTGTGTGTACACAGTGAGACTTTAAAGAGGTGTGTGTGTGTGTGTGTGTGTGTGTGTGTGTGTGTGTGTGTGTGTG